CCCAGCACCACATGCCAGCCAGCCCCACCCCCTGGTGGGCTGAACTGGCCACATACACACAAAATAAATAAATAATTTAAAAAATTAAAACTTTAAAATAATAGAAGCTTAAAAAAAAAAAACACCAACAAAGACCAGCAAGATAACTCAGTGGACTAAGCACCTGCTTAAGCGAGCACAGGGACCAGGTTTGATCTCCAGCACCACATGCCACATCAGCCCTGCCCCTGGGCTCACTAAGCCTATACCAAATACATTTAAAAAATAATAACAATAAGTAAATAAATAAAAACACCTAGGGGCCAGGGAGATGGCTCAGTAGAGTAAGTGCTTCCCTAGCAAGTGCAAGGGCTTGAGTTCAATCCCCAATTCCACAAAAAACAAAACAAAAAACAAAACACCTAGCAGATTAGTAAGGCACTCTCCAGGGTATGTTTGGGTGGACTACAGAGGCCCACTATTTCACAGACCCCCACTATGCTGAGAGAGGCAAGTTGTGCAGGCTCCTAAGAAAAAGCATCCCTGCAGTTCATGCCTTTCTAGCTCCTTGTACAAAGAAACTGGAGGATTCTTCCTCTCCCATTCATTCCTATGGGCACCAAGGCGTCAGTACATTTTAAGGCCTCATGTTCTCTAAGTACAGTGATTCTTTCTGCTCTATGATTTGTGTTTCTAAAACTGACTTTGGTTGAGCAGGAGGGTTGCAAGTTTGAGCCTAGCTTAGGCAATCTGCTGTGTAGTTCAGGCTGGCCTTGAATACACTATGGTGCCTAAGCTGGCCTTAAACTTGCAGTGATCCCCCTGCCTCAGCCTCCTTAATGCTAAGATTACAGGAATGAGCCAACACAACACCACACCCAGATCAATTTAGCAAGACCCTGTCTCAAAGTAAAAAGAGCCAGAGATATAGGTCAGTGAGAAGAGCCTGAGTCCAATTCCCACTACACACACACACACACACACACACACACACACAGACTAAGGTGTTTTCTACATGCAGGAACATCTTACAGGTGATATACTCTTGGGCTACAGTCCCTGTCCTCCACAGGTTTCCAGGCCAGCAAAGACCAATAGAAACGGGTTGTTATATAAACAAACAGGGCCTGAAGTTTGCTGAGGCCATTGACTTTGCCTGATGAGTTTTGAGAGTGAAGGTGAGGTAGATCCAGACTTTGTGGATAGCTGCGGCCCAAGAAGGAATGGGGAGTTTAAACACTGAAAATAGGGGTCCAGATGGCCATCAGGACAGGCCTTAAGAAAACTGGAGGTGTGGGCAAGGAGATGGCTCAGTAGAATAAGTGCTTCCCTGGCAAGCACAAAGGCATGAGTTCAATCCCCAGTTCAAAAAAAAAAAAAAAAAAGAAAGAAAGAAAGAAAGAAAAGAAAACTTAGGGGGCTGGGGAGATAGCTAGGCAGTCTAACTGCCTGCCTGGCAAGCACAAGAATCAGGGTTCGATCTCTAGTACCACATGCCATGTCAGCCCTGAAACCCAACATGGTATCACATGCCTACAATCCCCGTGCTGGGGAGGCTGAGAGAGGTGGATCACTACGAGTCTGAGCTAAATAGAAAGACCCTGCACAAAATAAAGAAATAAAAGTTTTTTTAAAAAATTAAATAAGAAAGAAAACTAGGAACCACTACTGTTCTAAACCTGGCCCTAGTGAAAGTGATACTGATAAACAGTCATTTATCCTATGACCCAACAATTCCACTCCTAAATATATACCTGAGGAATGGGTCCATGTGTCCATATATGCTTACATAGGAACAGGAATGTTCTCAGGGGCATTATTTACACAGGCATAAACTGAAAAAATACAAATGTCCAGCAACAGAAGAATAAGCAAAAGAAGCATGTAAAGCAGAAGGCTGTGTGTGTGTGTGTAAGTCTATGGCATCACAATTGCCCATGGGACAATTAAATAAATATAGAAAATAACCCAAACAGCTCTTGGGAGGCTGTAAACAGTGGGTCACTACAAGTCCGATCTAGTAGTGAGACCCTGAACACCCTATAGATCCTTCCCTAAAATACAAAAAAAAAAAAAAAAGAAAGAAAGAAAGAAAGAAAGAAAGGAAAAAGAAAATAAACCACAAAGCACAGATTTCAGACATTATATTGAGCCAAGAAAGCAAGACCCAGTAGCTGGACTTGGTAGTGGATACCTGTAACCAATAGCATGGTGACACATGTCTGAAACTCCAGTACTATGAGGCAGGCAGATCCACAGTCAGTGACAAAACTGGACTACACAGTGAGACCCTGTCTAAATAAACAAATGAAGCCTACGTAGCTCAGGGATAGAGTGCCTGCCTAGTATGTGCAAAACTGCACTTGATCACCAGCGCTGGAAAAATGGCCAGATGATCTAGAACAAATTAGGCTACACCTATTTCTAAAAGAATTCTGAAACATGACTGGGAGAGGGTATCTACTGTTGACTGGATTAGGACATGGGTGTGGGGGCTTTCTGGGGTGTTGGAAATACAAGGGATGATGGAAAACTACAATGAATGTTTAATTTAAAAAGAATCACAGGGGGCGGGGGAGATGAGTAAGTGCTTCCCTGGCAAGCGCAAGGGCCTGAGCTCAATCCCAGGTTCTGCAAAAAATAAAAAATAAAATAAAAAGAATCACAGGAGGCTATCTTGACTCTTCATAGTGGCCCACCCTGTGCCTCCTAGAACCGGGTGTATTTTTATTTTGCTCTTTTTCTCTTTCCCTCTTTTGTTTGGCCCAAGTTTGCTCTGCAGAGCCAGGTTCTCCCTTAACCCTCTACCACTTACTTTTCAAATAAACCTGTCACCATTTTAAAAACAATAAATAAAACATTACAGTAACAGACACATTTTCAAGAGCCAGCCATGGTGTCACATGGCTCATTCCTATAATCCCAGCACTGAGTAGGCTGAGGCAGGAGGATCACTACAAGTTTGAAGCCAGCCTGGGTTACATGGTGAACTACACAGTGAGGTCCTGTCTCAAAAATAAAAACAAAGAACAAAATAGATATTGTGGGCTGGGGAGATAGCTCAGTGTTCTAAGTGCCTGCCTGGCAAGCACAAGGACCTGGGTTCCATCCTTGGTACTGTTTGCCTTGCCTCCTATTGCTGCCAAAACTGGGTATGATGGTGCACACCTGTAATCCCAGCGCTGCAGAGGCTGAGACAGGAGGATCAATAGAAATTTGAGCTCTGTAGTGAGACTCTGTACCAAATAAATAAAAGATTAAAAAACAAAAATGAAAAACCAGACATTGAGAAGACACCAACGCTGACACAACAGTGCAACTAGACAGGAAAGAGAACTTCCAGAACTGCTTCAGAGATTGGCAAGAACAAGTTCCTTCAAAATGACTAAACTGGAATAAAACACTGAATCACAGCTATTAACTATCTTATCCTATTTAACATTAAAATAAACTTAGAAGAAATAAAATGGCCTTTAAGCTGGGCATAGTGGTGCACTCCTGTAATCCCATAACTCATGAGGCTGAGGCAGAGGATTGCTGTGAGTTTGAGGTCCCTGGGCTACAAAGTGAGTTCTAGGCCATCCTGAACTGCATAGTGAAACCCTGTCTTAAAAAACCAATAATAATGTTAATAATTTTATTTAATTATATTTGTGTGCATACATACAGAAATATAAAAATTTCATACAGTACCTAGGCAGTAGCACGCCCTTGTAATCTATTGCTCTGGTAGGCTGAGGCAAGAGGATACAAATTCAGGTCTAACCTGGGCAATTTATCCACTTAGAGAGGCCCTGCCTCAAAACTTAAAGAAACAAAAGCTGGGGATGCAACTCAGTGCAAAGTCTATGGGTCTAAGCTCCAACACTGGAAACGAAACCAAGCAAAACCAAAAAAACACTTTACTGCATGTTATGTGTCAGTATAAATTAGTATCTAATAACCGATCATGATGATAATATATTTAGGAAAGATCTTCCCTCTAAACCCAATCCCATTGCCATGAAATCAGTGGTTCATGTTGCCTAGGCACAGGGAACGCCGTTATTTTTTGTTCCGTTGGTAGTAAGGAATAAACCCAAGAGTCTTCGCATTCAGCTACATCCCTGGGCCTATTTTTTATTCTACTACTTATCTAGAGACAGAGTCTCTTTAGGCAGTTTAGGCTGGCCTTAAACTCACTATGTAGCCCAGGGTTGCTCCCAAACCTCAGCAGCCCTCCCGCGACAGCCTCCAGAGCGCTGGAATTACAGGCTTGCAACACACCAGCCTGGAAAGGTCTGGGGATAAGAGAGCCAGGCCTGTAGGGAAAGAAGGCCTAAGGATGACTTCCAGGCCTGGGAGGTACACAGCTGACGCGCCGACACCACGTCTCGCACCTGTCCAAGGATAGTACACAGCGCCAAGGCTTGATACAGCCCAACCGCGGCGCTGACGTGACTTCGGTCCTCTGCGGCCGCAGCCTCGAGTACGCAAGAAAACCCAGCCAATCAGCAACCGGCTTGGCGCAGGGTCGCTTGACCGGCGGCTTCCGTCACCTAGGCTGACCACGCACTTCCAATGGGCAAACTGCCCCCTTGCCGCCAATGAGCAAAGACCTTACGTCCTGCGCCACCTCGGCCTCACCTTTTCGGCAACTAGCGCTCTTTTCCGCATGCCGGTTGGCACCCTGCCAGCCAATCGTCAAGCGACTCAAGGTCAGCAGCCAATGGCTACTCGCCCCTCCTCTCCAAGCCAAGGCGGTTGGTGCTCCCTGCCAGAGACGGAGACGGATTGGCTCAGGTGATAGCCAATAGACGATGCGCGCGAGACGCGGGGCCAATGATCGTGCTGAGAGGAGACGGGCGCCGGGGCGGGCGCCGCGGGTAGCGGCAGAGAGGAGAGGCCGGTGTCAGCAGTGGCCGGTGGTATCTGCGGCTGGCGGCCATGGCGGAGGCCGGCGGCGACGATGCCCGCTGTGTGCGGCTGAGCGCCGAGCGAGCTCAAGCACTGCTGGCCGACGTGGACACGCTGCTGTTCGACTGTGACGGCGTGTTGTGGCGTGGCGAAACCGCGGTCCCCGGCGCGCCTGAGGCCGTGAGGGCACTGCGGGCCCGCGGCAAGCGCCTGGGCTTCATCACCAACAACAGCAGCAAGACGCGCGCCGCCTACGCCGAGAAGCTTCAGCGTCTGGGTTTCGGCGGCCCCACGGGGCCGGGGGCTGGCCCGGAGGTGTTCGGCACGGCCTACTGCGCTGCACTCTACCTGCGCCAGCGCCTGGCGGGCGCGACAGCCCCCAAGGCCTATGTGTTGGGCAGCCCGGCCCTAGCCGCCGAGCTGCAGGCCGTGGGCGTCGCCAGCGTGGGCGTGGGGCCTGAGCCGCTGCGGGGCGAAGGCGCCGCTGACTGGCTGGCCTTGCCGCTCGACCCCGAGGTGCGTGCGGTGGTGGTGGGCTTCGACCCGCATTTCAGCTACATGAAGCTCACCCAGGCCGTGCGCTATCTACAGCAGCCCGGCTGCCTGCTCGTGGGCACCAACATGGATAATCGGCTCCCGCTGGAGAACGGCCGCTTCCTCGCGGGTCCGTGCGCCCCGGGGCGGGAGGCCGGAGGGCACACTGCCCCTGCCCCGTCCCCACCCTCTGACCCCGGCGTCCCGTTCCTTCCCTCCGCCCCGCAGGTACCGGCTGTTTGGTGCGCGCGGTGGAGATGGCCGCCCAGCGCCAAGCCGACATCATCGGAAAGCCCAGCCGCTTCATCTTCGACTGCGTGTCCCAGGAATATGGCATCAACCCGGAGCGCACTGTCATGGTCGGGGACCGCCTGGACACCGACATCCTCCTGGGCGTCACCTGCGGCCTGAAAACCATCCTCACCCTTACAGGAGTCTCCACACTAGGAGACGTGAAGAGTAATCAGGAAAGTGACTGCATGTCTAAGAAGAAAATGGTTCCTGACTTCTATGTTGACAGCATAGCCGATCTCTTGCCTGCCCTTCAAGGTTAAAGATGTAGTGTCTTTAATCTCCAGAATAAAACGTAATTGAAAATGTTAGCCAAATTAATAGGTGGGGCTTAGGCATTGGCTCAGCGATGTGGTCGGAGAGTGTAATTGGAGTTAAGTGGAGGCAGTAGTTGTTAGCCTTGTAAGTAAATGTTTCGGGGACGATGTTGTTTACAGATGCTTATATTTTAATTTAAGATGCACTTTTTAAGCTTGGAGGGCATCGTAGGGGTGGGTCCTGGTCTTTGGATATGTTGTCTAGGGCAGGATTGGCACCTGTCCAGGATTCAGGTAACCTCAGGCCTTGCAGGTCTAGAGGTGTGTGTCATGTATTTAAAAGTTTTGTTCAGGGATCAAGCCCTCTTGGAGGGCAGAGAAAAGAAGGGCCTGATTATAGTGACTGTTGTGAGTCATTTGTGCAGATGGAAGGAGGTCCTCTGCCCCGCCCCCCGCCCCCCACCCAACTGTGTGGTAATGCAGCAGATCTGACTGCTGTTGCTGTGTCCCAGCTCCTTATCTGCAGGGAGTAAGGAGGCCACTCCTAAATGGTATCAATCTGTCCTTGAGTATGGGGTGCTGTGCTTGTCATCCCTCCTGTTTCCTTTGAAAACCACTTTGATGTCACAATTGTCTGTTCCGTTTCAGATACCCAGGGCTGCAGCTTCTTGTGTACAGCTGCCCCATTCTGTAAACTCAGCCCAGAGCCCAGCTAAACTTCAGCTGTCTCAAGTGTGCATTTAAATCCAGGTGACTCAGACAGGCAGGTGTGGACACCCTTCACTGAACTGTGCAGGGATCTCAGTGTTAGTACTAAAAAAACCATTTAACTTGTGAACAACTTTGTCAAGTGGTGGAACTGAATCTTAAGTATGTGGATTAATAGCTGTGCTCTGTCTCATAGGAAAAATCACACTGAAGAAATCTCCATGTCTTGTAGCCAGCAACATGGCTAAAGGCATGTGTTGGCCAAGGACTGCCTGTCACCCTTGGTGCCCTCTGGGTGGAGGAGGAAAGAGATGTCTCAGATAACAGGAAGTTGTTTTACAAAGTGTTCAGTCTCCCTGCCTGCCTGTACCCTGGATCAGGGCTGGGGTTAGATATCATTGGGGGTTAGGCGAGAGGCCACTTATCCTGGCCTTGGGTTCACTAGATGGTAGTAGGACTAGCAGGACCCACCTGCCAACTTGGGAGTCCTCTGCAGGGGTTCTGGCCTTTTCTGTCAATTCCCTAGGGCCACTGAACTTTAGCAACTTGCTGAGCAGATCTGGCAGCACTTGCAGGGCAGAGCCTGGGAGGCTGTTCCTTTTGGCTGACTCCTTCTCAGTGCCTCACCCTGTTTCCAGTGGCTTCTTCCAGCCCTGTGATCACAGTGCTCCTTCACCTGTTCACTGAGTTCTCAGAGCAATAAAGAGTACACCTGCAGCTGCTTCCAGCTAGGGTGGCTGAGATTGGGATGGTGCCACATGGCAACAGGAGGGCAGCCATGCCTGTGAGGTTGGTGGTGCTGACCTTGGCTCTGCGAGGTCGGCTCAAGGTGGGTCTGGATATTGAGCAGGCCTGTCAGGGCGTTGTCACCCACACCAGGTGCAGCGGCCAGCAATGCTTCTTCAGCAGCTTGGGAGCCTGTGTGAACCCCATCTCTGACCCCTTGCACTGTGTGACCTTACATGCACATTAAACTCTCAAACCTGCACTGACTGGACCTTCCTTCCTCTCGTCTTTATGGCTAACCCCAGTGGCAGCTATCTAGCTGGGTGTGTGGGGGCAGGATGGGAAAACCGAAAAAAAGCTGGGCTAGAGTTCCAATTCCAGAGTAAGGACTACTGCAGCACCACACCATTTTAGACCTGCTCAGAATTTTTTCTTAATTTTATTTTTATTTTTTTTAAAATTATTTATTTATTTTATTTATTACATTTATTTATTGTGTGTGTGTGGCCAGCTCAGCCCACCAGGGGGCGGGGCTGGCTGGCATGTGGTGCTGGGGGATCGAACCGCGGTCCCTGTGCTTTGCCAAGCTTGTTTCAAGTAGGTGCTTTAGACCACTGAGCCATCTCTCCAGCCCCTAATTTTATTGATACAAGGTCTCACTATGCAGTTCTGACTCATGATCCTGTCAGCCTCCCCAGCTCCGGCATTACAGACATGTGCCCCCTTATCCAGTTTTGGGGCTATTATGGCATGCGGTACCAGGAATTGAACTTGGGACCTTGCACTTGCCAGGGAGGCAATTATGCCACCGAGCTATCTCAGCCCCAGAAAGTTTTGAAGAATCAGGAAAATTGGGACACAAAACCAGAAAATGGAGCCATGGGATGAAGCATACATGGTAGCCTAGACACATCTGGAGATAGACCAGAAGCCAGGGTAAGTGAATATAGATGAATTAGAAGCAAGCCATTCTGGGGAGGGGGTGGGATACAAAAAGCCAAACTGAACATCCTCAGCATGTAAAGGCTCCAGCTGGGTGCCAATTTCTAATGCAGTCTAGAACCTTGGTGCTAAGCCTGTGTGCTTTGCTGGATGGCCACAGCCTTAGGTGGTAGTGGTGGCTAAAATCAGCTAGGGTTGGAAAAAAAAAATGAGAGCTACAAAAAAAAAAAAAAAAAATCAGCTAGGGACACAAGGGAGAAGAGGAAGGTGATACACAGCCCAGTACAAGTGTTACTGGACAGGTACTTATTGATGGGTTGCTGTGTGCCAGGCTCTGCTCCTAACTGTGGAGTCTAGAGGTAGCAGATGGGAAGATACTAAATCTGCCCCAACCAATCATTCAGGATAGGCCTGAACTGCCCCTGCCCCTGATCAATTAACTGGACTGGTTCTCCCTGAGGCCTCAGTTCTCAAGACCCTGTACTCTAGTATGTACAGCCAGCTGTTAACTTGGCTTGTTGGTTGGCAAACCCTGGTAGGGGAGGGAATTGTCCTGGCTCTGACCTAGATATCAGATACTGAGGTAGGGAGGAGGCAGTTGTCTGGCTCAGAAGCATCCTGAGGTTTCCTGCTGAATCCTCCAAGGGGCTGCAGACAATCAGTGTATTGTAAGCAGGGGCTGCAGCATGGAGGACAGAAGCAGCCACACGGAGGGCTCCAGGCCTGGTCCTGCAGAGGTGAGTACTTCTGCCATTTCCTGGACAAGGATGTGGTCAGGAATTAGGAAAGTCACCACTTACTATACTTTCCTTCCCTGGGCAGGCTTGCTTTGGGGTCTTTAACCCAATGGCCCCACTGACCACCATATGCCCTTAGGTGCAGACTAAACCCTGCCATGGGAGCTGGAGAGCCGCAGGTCTGCTGCTGCTGCTGCTGGCCCTAGCCACTGCAGGGGTTGTGACTGGAGGGCTTCTTGGCTTCACCCACGGCCCTCCCAAGGTGAGCCTATCCTCAGAACACAGCGGAAGGGGACAAGAAGACTAGCACATGCCAGTCCTCCAGAGGAGCCAAGGCTCTGAGCAAGCCATGACATTGGCCTTGCTGCAAATGACGAAAGAACCAGAAAGGTCAAAAACCCATTTAGATAATGCAGAAGTGCAACAGCCCAGGGCTGGGGACACTTGGGACTGTAATTACAGCTCGCCTGGCTTAACTCCCACTTCCCATTTTAGCCTTTGCTGCAGATGCTCCGACTGACTCTCCCAAGCCCACCAGTACCCTGGTCCAACCAAACCACCCTGGTAGACATGGCCCGGAACATGGCAACCATTATGGTGACTCCGCCGCAGAGCAACCGCAGCTGGGCAGTGCTGTTTGATGGGCAAAATGTGAGTTAACAAGGGGGAAGGGGGGTCAAACTTCAGGTATTAGGGAAAGCCCCACTTTACCCACCTGCTTCTCCAGGGCTGTATCTGCTACCGTCCAGCAGAGCACCAGGCCTGCTTCCTCCACCTGATGGAGGCCCAAGATCGGGAGACCCTGCAGCTGATAGTAAACACCTCCAGGGTGAGCAACCCCACTCGGCTCAGCCCCCAGGACAGGAATCAGACAAAAGGTCCTGTGTGCAGCCTGCCTTAGCCAGCTGGGGCTCTGGTTTCAGAGAACAGAGAGTTCTATCTTCCCTTAGCTCAGGCTGATAACAGATGGCTGCGCTGTCAGGTTGGGGTGGGATATGTGGCCCCAACCCAGCCAGAAACAGGGAAGTACCCCATGCTATGGCCTACCAGAGCCTTTTTGCAGGCTCAAGAGTCCCACGCCACTGGCCAAGCCACCCACTATGCTCAAGAGCTGCTGGCAGTGCATGGGAGCCATACTGTGGATCCTGCCCAGGTGGGAGCTTCAGTCCAACAGCTCTGTGCAAAGACTCCCATCTATTGGGCCCATCGAGTGGAAGGTGAGTTGGGGACTCTGTGTGGAGAGCCCTGTGGAAGTCCTTTGGGAATTAATGACACCGCCCCTACCTTTCCCCCAGGGCCCCAGAGACAGCGGCTGATCTATCTCTGCATTGACATCTGCTTCCCAAGCAACATCTGCATGTCCGTCTGCTTTTATTACCTTCCAGACTAAGTCCTCTGCCTGACTCATCTGGACTTGTCTCCACAGGCCAGTAGTTGGCTGGTCAGCAGCACCAATGGAGGGCAACTGCTGACAGGGACAAATAAAACCCTTGCACCTGGCTGTAGTGGTGTTCTCTGGGTCCTGGGATCTGATCAGGGCAGGAAGGGGAAGAAAGATGTGGAACTAGGCACCAGCTTCAGTTTTCCCAGCAGCTCCAGGCCCATGGATTTAGTCTCTCTGAGGGGCATACAGGCTCACCAAGCTCAAGCATGTATATCCTGGCTTGATGGGTCCTGATAAGCACATGGGCACTGATGGAGTTCTAGAGCACACAGGAGGTCTAGGCTGGCTGACTGGGGCCAAGGTGACCTGTTCACATACAGTGGACCTAGTGGGCAGAGGCTAGCCCAAGGGTTTGCTCTGACCAGGTGATACACAGATACATTCAGCTGTAGACACTGCACAGGCAATTCCTCCAAGGTTAGCCCCTGGGTAGAGGCTAACCCAGGACACTGTCATTGAAGGCCAAACAAACAACAGCTTTCTGGTGGCCACCATATTCTCTCTTGATCTCTCCAGTCTCCACACACCAAAGGCGGGCCAAGTTGTCAGATGAAGCTGTAGGGAAAGATTAGGAAATAGCTCAGGGCCAGATATGGCTCTTGGCTGGGACTAGGCCTCCCAGCTGCCTCCTATAGGCAGCTCTTGAGGTGTCCACCTGTGTACCCTAGCCAGGGTCCCTATGTACATCCCCAAAGTGCCCCTCTCTGAGACTCTGTTTTCAAGTGACTGTCCTCCTGCCCTATGGGGCACTTGCTGTGTCTGGAGTCTGACACAGGTGGCCTGAGGTAAAAGAGGAACAGCATCTGGACTGGCCCATTTCACAGGTCCAGGCAGGAGAGAGGAAGCTGGGTTCACCTGTGACAATGTACTGAGAGTCTCCTGAGAAGGCACAACCCCACATCCAGCCACGTGATGACTCTCCAGGGTTGCTGCTCTTAATGCTCAACTCTGTCATCAGGGAAAAGTTGGATGTTCTCCAAATCTTGCATGTCTGGTCAGCTGAGCAGGTGGCAAGAAGCCTGCGGGTAGAAATAATAGGAGTCTAAATGTTAGTCAATTTTACCCACCCTGTACCCCTTTGCCATGCACCACACAGGCGTAACCCATCAAAGCCCAGCTCCAGGCAAACCCCTTCCCAGGCCAGCAGGCCTTGCACGCACGTGGAGTCAGGGCTGAAACGGCACTGCAGGGCATAGCGGGTATGGGCTGGAATCTTGGTCTTGGGAATAAGCTGGGTCACCTCATCACCAATACCCCCAGTCAAATTCCACACATAGCAGTTTCCCTATTGGGTAGAAGGGAAGTCACTTGAAACCTGGAACCTCAGAGAAGGGTATCTTGGGTGTTGAACCTGGACCCAACACTTGGAAGCTAAGCCAGGGCATACAGGTAGGGTATGGCCCCAACCAATGGCGATGCCTTGCCAACTAAGTCCAGGAGGCCACACTGGCCAAGGGCTCACAGATACATCCCTTGAGAAATACTTCTGGCCAACAGAGATGTGTAGAAGGAAAGGAGGGCATCCAGATACAGATGTGGCAGACCAAAGCTGAGTGGAACAAGTGATACACTATGATATGCGCTAGAAGAGAAAAAAATAAGGTCAGAGGGGAAATCAGAACCCAATCCAGGACATCTTGGGGTCTCCCCAGTAGAATGATATAGTGTGGAGAGTAAGGCTGCTGCCAAGGAAGAATGGACAAAAAAGCAAGGGGAGTTCAGCAAGAAAAGTAGGCCACAGAAAGACTGTCAGCATCAGAGAAGATAAGGGTGACTTGGGCCAAGAAATGACAGGGTAATGAGGGGAGGCTGATATTCCTTGGCCTGCTAGATGGGACATGGCAGGCAGTGAAAGACATCAGGAGTGGTACCCATATTACTAGCTCTGAGGGCAGGTGGGTGTATGAAAATGGGGTGACTGAGAGGCACTGGAAAATCAGCCCATTTGTAGGGAGGACAGGGACTCACGGTGCTATTGACTGCTGCCATGTAGCTGGCGTCAGGATCAATATGGGCAGATGTGATGGAGACCTCTGGCTCTGGGATCAGCTGCTCATTGTGATCTGTTTTCAGGTCCCAGATGTGGATAGCACCGCTCTGGTCACCCACGATGAGTTCTGCCTGGGGTAGAGGCGAAGTGAGGTAGAGTGGAATCCCTGCCTTTGACAGTCCCTCACCCCATGGGTAATTCTCACCTGATTGGGGTGCAAGCACACACAGTTAATGGGTGCATTCACCTGGAAGATCCGCTGACACTGCAGATTTCGGGACCTGAGGGGTTATCAAACACCATCTCTAGGGGACGCTGTTGGTGTCCCATCAAATGCCCTCTACCTAGAAAATCTCCTCCCCATTCCTCAGAAGTTTGGCTTTTCCTCCTGGCAGTATCCTAAAGCCAGTGACTGAAGAGGAGGGAAAAGCGAGATCCTGGCACCAAAGCACTGCTAGCTCTTTGATGTAATTCACTCCACTAGCCTTTTCTCTTACCAATAAATCACCCACAAAAAGCTCCCTGGCCCAACCTCTCCTTGGATTGAACCTGCCTGGCCCTTGCCTGACCCACCCTCACCCCAGAGAGCAAGCCCCTCCTGCCCAGCACACAGCACCTGAGATCCCAGATTCGGGCTGTGCAGTCCTCCCCGCCTGTGTACATCCAACGGCCGTCCTCATGGAAGCCAACAGATGCAATGTTCTTATTGACACCATCATAGCTAATGATGGGGTTGGGATTATTGGAGTTGAGATCATACATGCGGATGTGCTGATAACCTAAGAACATAGAACGAACTGAAACATGGCCATCCCCAAATCTAGGAGAGGTCGGGGGTCAGGGGTCAAGAGTCACAGGTACCTGCAGCAGCAATCATGCTTCGGTCTGGAGTGATTTCCAGTGCATTCACCTGCTGGGGTCGGTTAAGGAGCATGACAGGAAGGGAGTCTGGGGCTATGGTTCTCTTCCACTACCTGGCAGGGGCTGCTATGTCATCCCCACCCACTGGCCTGCCCAGCACCACCCTGCCCACCACTCAGGTGGAGGATACAGAATCCTGATGCTGCACAGTACGTGTACAGATCCCGCTGTGGGCCTGCCAGAACCGCACAGTGTGGTCATAACCCGCAGTGGCTAAGATAACAGGGTCACTGCCCACTGTTCCTGGAGAGGTGTTCATGGCGTAGCTGCCAGAAAGTATGTCTCGACCAGGGCAGGAGCACTGATGGAAGGGGTCAAAGGTTAGACCATCTGGAAAGGACAGAAGTGTTAAGGATTTGGGGGATGCTGCCCGGATACTAAGTAAATATCTGCCGCTCTGTGATAGGTAGTATCATTCCCAGGCTAGAGGTGGGAAAACTGAGGCTCGTCAAGGATTCGCTGATTACCATCGACCAGGGACACTAGCCTCTGAGACCCTAACCCACGCACGCACTGGCTGGCTGAACGCCACGCCACCCGCGACCGGGAGAGGGCAGTCACGCGAGGCGCCGGCTGCCGCAGGGGCAAGACGCGCATGCGCAGGCGGCGGGCGGGACGAGGAAAACCGAGGGCTTCGGCTGCGCACGCGTAGTTGACCGGTCGCTAGACCGGATAGAAGTGGGCTGTCTGGCCGTACCTATGAGCTCCGGGTACTTTACTGACCGTCCTGGGTCCCTTCTGCCGGAACCTTCCCTTGGCTGCACCGTCTTAGCCACCCAGCAGCCGAGTCCTGGCCTTTGCCCGTGGCTTCCGTACCTTACTCGCGATCCGCACTCTGCTGTGACCCAGGATGGTTAGGGGAGCCGGAGCGAGTCGATAGAGGCAGAGGCCGAGCGTAGAGTTATCGATGGATCTTCAGGGCTATACCATAGGGCGCCAGGAGGGGTGGTGGGGCGAAACCAAAATTCTGGGACGGTGCCTACGGAGAGTAACGGTATGTAATGGACTCTAGCCGGCCCACTCTGGCGCGGCTACTTCTTTTCCAGGCCGAGTCTCAGACAGGGTCGCACGGTCCTCATTTCCTCCTTGACCCGCTACGGTGTTACACTGCCCTTGTTCACAGTTCTTGAATTTCGGAGAAGCAACACATTTTTAAATACAAATATATTTGTACTAAATATACATTTAGTATATATACATTTAGTACAACTCGTTTACAATGCATTCATGTGTATTTGGGCATTCTATAGTTTTATTTACTACATCTGACAAGCCTTGGCCCAACACTTTCAGACCTGAAAAAGTCCCCAACCTGAACTTAGGGTACCCTCCCTAAGGCCCAGGACCCTTTTCAAACTGTCGAAACAGTTTTTCCATTCCAGTCTTCTGAAATCTTTTTTGTTTTTGTTTTATTTGAAAGATAGTCTCGTTATGTAGTTCAGTCTAGCTGTGAGTTCTCTGTGTAAACAGGCTGATTTAAAAACTCACATCGATCCTGCCTCAGCCTCACAAGTGCTGGGATTATAAGCATATCCTGCCAAGCCGAGTCCCTGCAAATTCGTGAGACGGTCTGCCAGTTTCTTTCCACTGTGGGAGGAACATGGCTACAACCACTCCTTGCTCTGGCGACACAATGAGTGGATCTGGTCCCCTGACTAATGCCAAGACTGGCCAACCACCCAGGTCCTGGGTCCCAGGAACCTTCCTACTTATACATTCCTCCTCTCTTTTGTGCCATTTAGCTTTATTATTTATTTATACTGGGGATTAAATTCAGGGTCTCCACACTGAGCTACATCCCAGCACTTATTTGTTGTTTATTTTGAGGCAGCGTCTTGCTGAGTTACTAAGTCAATTACGCTGAGCCAAACTTGAAAAACTTACAAATTGGTATGCACCACTATCCTTGGCTCTAGTCTCACTGTGTAGTTCAGGTTGGCCTTGAACTTTCTAGATAGCCACTGAGGCATGCCTGGAACTTGCGGCAGTCCTCCTCCCTCAGCTTCCTGAGTGCTGAGATTATACACATGGACTACTATTGGCTTTCCCCTTAGCCTTTTTTCTTATTTTTAAAAAATATTTTATGTATTTGGTATAGGGTCTTGCTACATAGCTCAGACTCACAGTGATCCTCCTGTCTCATCC